TGATATTTTTATTCAAATTATTTAATAAAACTAAAAATATTAAAAATTAATAAATATACTTATATAATAGAATGAATTTTCTTCTTTTCCGCTTCATAGACAGGATGTATGGGAGAAAAGTCTGCTTTGAAAAATAAAAGTATAAAAGACCAGAGGAGTAAGTGGAATACCAAGGGTAAATCCGGGGACGTTGCTCTAGGTCGTGTTTGTTGAATAAATTTATTGATGGCGGTGGTTGGTGAACCCCTGATTTTATTTGTGAATGTATGTTACTTGCCACGCGCCACGCACGGAGCTCCATTCAACGGATTAATAAGTGTGTGTTTGATCTTGAATTTGTCAAAAAGTTATTTATTAAAAAATTTATTTAATAAAAATTAGTTAGTATAATTAAATTTTTTATTAAGATATTTGTTTTTAAAAATCAATTTGATACACTAAAGTTATTTAATTTGTGATAGTAAAATGTATCTTTAAATATACAATTAACAAAAAGAACATTGATTTATTATGATTTGTAATTTTTATTATACAAATATAATATATTTGAAATATTTAGAAAATGTGATAAAGATTTTAAATAACATAAAATTTAATTTATAATGTTAAAAATTGATCTCTAGTTATTTGGACTTTTTAATTTGTAATTTTAGAAAATGTAATAAAGATTTATAATTTTATTATACATTATACTAAAGTTAACATAATTAATTTTTAATTTATAATGCTAAAAATTTGATACCAATTATTATTATTGAAATGATAATTATATTTTTAATAAATTAGTTATGTTTAAATAAAAAAAAGAGATAACTTGAGGGAGTATGATCAAATAACATTTTACTCTTTAAATATGTTTTTTTAAAGTTTTAAATAGTTGCATTTTAAAAATTTACTTTTAATCACTGTTTGAATATACTTTGAGATGTATTTCTTGTAAAATATTTTATTTAAATAACTTTCAATATTTTAAAAGTAAAATTTTACTTTTTAAATATGAATATAAGAAAAATCAAACGAGCTCTAATAGTTTTTCACTTCCTGTTTCGTTCTTATATTATTTCTTCTTCTTCTTCTCCCTAATTTCAAAAGAAATTGATAATGATATTAATTAGTTGTTGAGAGCTTTTGCAGTTTTTTAATTTTGGTGCCAGCATGGTTCGAGAGACTTGAGTTGGATATTTTTTTTTAGCAAGCCTTTCTGCTTCTAGTCAGTGTGAAAAATGATAATGTTAGCTTCGAATTAATAGTTTTATTCTCGTTTCCTTATTATTATTATTATAGAAGGTGGCCACCATTAATTAATATTATATATTTAGTAACTTTCTTTTTGTACTAGTTTTCTTATTAATTATTTCTGTTAATTGCTTACTTAACTTGGATGAAATTAATTTTTAAAATGCTTGGCAATTTTTTGTTAATACTTCCTCATATTAATATATAAGGTATTTTTAATAGAATTTTACATTTCAATAAAGATTTATTATTTAGTTGAATTCACATAAAAATATAATATTTTTTCAGTTTTATCACTAATAATATCATAATTTATATTAGAAGGTGGTAGAGAAAATATATAATTAATTATCTATTCCTTTTAAAATAAGAATAAAATTATTTAATTACTTAAAAATATTATTGTTATTTTTTATATTTAAAAATAAAATAAATTTTTAAAAAATATTTTATATATAAAGATAGAGGAAGTAACTCTTTGTGGGGGACAATTTGAAGTTTTCAACTCACCTCCCACCCTGTACTATTTTGAACATCATGGAAAGAGAAGCTTAAATTTTAAGCGAGGACTCAAATCTTGATCCAACAACCCTATTAATAGTGTATTGTTTACTTTAATTAATTTATAGAAATAATTTAATTTTTAACTCCTAAACTTTTCTCAAATATAATTTAATCATTAAACTTTAATTTAGTATAGCATAATATTTATAGTTTTTTTGATTTTAGAAATTATAACAGTATTAAGTCAAAAAATTATTAAAAAATGAATTGTTCTGATTTTCAAATAAAAAAAAACTAAAAGAATTGAGTTTATTTCAAGTCAGTGATTGATAATTGATGATGGAAGAAAAATGTAGGGAGTAATAATTGCACTTTCCCTAGAAGCTGTTATTTTAAACGAAAAGAGATTTTCAAGATCAGTAAGGATGACTCGGAATGAACTTTAGTCTAATTTGATCTTTTAAGTCTGGAAGGTGAGGCTGCAGACGACAAGTCAACATTCAAGTGATCGAGTCAAACACATGTTCGTAATTGCGTATACTTTTGGTTAAGGATTATATTTAATACATCCACCATCTCATGTATGTACTTTTATTTTTTTTAATTAAATATAATATAACTCTAATTTAATTCAAACAAACTATGTGAGAATCATTTCAAAATATTACGAAGATTTAACAGCACAACTAATAGATCAAGGTTTTCTGGTAATGGTTTTTTTTTTGTTTTGGGTTACACAAAGATGTGTCTTTATTAGAAGCTATCATGTCTGAAACACTTTTAAATGTTAATATGATCGCATCTTTTAATATAATGTAAATGGCGTTACAATTGAAAATAAAAAACTAAAATGACTAAATATTGTAATAATAGAGTGAAGTAGGTGAGCAGCGTGAGTAGTTTAGTTTTAACTTTTGATTACGTATGGATTTTTGTCTTTTCCAGGATTATCATATTCTTTAAGAAAATATTTTGGGAGAATGATAAAAAATTCTAAAAAGATCAATTAATTTAAATTAGGTCTAAATTGTCAAACTTCATGAATTTTTAAATCAATCTCTTAATTTTACAACTGTGTTATAATAAATTTGTAACTTATTTTTAAATTTTAATATGGTTGAAGAATAAAAAAAATTTATTTTTCATGTTAAAATTCAGAATATAAAATTAAAAATTTATTATAACAGATTTGAAAAATTAAAAATTGAATTATAAATTTTTAAAGTTTAACACTTAAAATTTAATTTAAATAATTATTTTTTTAAGTACCTCTCTATCATTCTCCTAAATATTTTTAACATAAATTTTTCAACTACATTTTTTTTTTGTTATTTTAGTATAGAGGACCAGGCCCAAGTTCAAAGAGATAATAAATATTTACGCAATTATTGATTTAGTTCTTAAAATTTATTTTTATTAATTTAATTTCTTATGCTTTTTTAAATTATGTAATCCTTAAAGTTTCAAGACAAAAATTGACCCTCAAATTGATGGTGTGTAAAGTATGTTGATAATTTAATATGTATATGCAAATAAATGAGGGCAAATTAATCATCATATCAGTTTAATTAATTTTTATCAATTAATTCCTTATGTGAAGTTTTGTTTTTTTTTTTATTTCCAAGTCTGTTTTTTACCTAAATAATTACAATTTTTATTAACTTTATGACTACCTTAAATATTCCGTTATCCATCTCAACAGATTTTAACAGTGTTATTTAAAAAAAAAAATAAAATCAACTGATAATCAATATAAATTAAAAAAAATCAAATAGATAAAAATTAAATTTAAAAAACTAAATTGATGACTAAAATAAATTTGGACGCCGGCAATTTCTTCCAAGTTTAGAATGAGATTGTCTCACTCAAGCATACACTGCTATGAGGCAAACCCAGCTGGTTAATTTCGTGGGTTTGTCTAAGCCAATTATTTTTAATATTTTGATGGAATTATTTTCCAAAAAGACTCTTAAAATAATTCTTATAAAATTTATATTTTTAATTAATAAGACCGGTTTGAATCAAACCAGTATGACCCGGCTTAATCATTAAATATTAGTAATATTTTTTGGTCAATATATCCAGCTCAACTAATAGCAATTTGTCATATTCTTGGACGATAATGCTTTGAACTTTGAAATAAAAAAACAATCTTGTCCCATTTTATTCAATAAGAAATGGACAATGATTTTAACCAATAAACTTTAACCTTTAACCTCTACAGTGAGAAAACAGCATGAACTCCAAGCCTGGCTTTAATCCTGACTTCGTCTTCTCTGCCTCAAAATCTCAAGATGCTATCATGGATCCACCTACTTTCAAAGAAGAGATTGATTTGATCAACCGAAATGCTTCCGAGGTAGATGAAGAAATGATAGACAAAGGATCAAAAAGCAAACAACATGGAGCTCAGCCTATGGATATGCACTCTGAAAGTGTTCGTGACAGAGAAGTAAATCCAGGCGACGAAAAATTTTCACAGGGTATCAAAGCTTTCAAGGCTCCTATTTCTTATAAAGATTTCCTCGTAGGCTATAATGGTTGTTATGGGATTAGTGAAGGAAATAACACTGAGCACATTAATGATTCTCTAGCTAAGGAATTGAAGCAAAAATGGTCTCCCCCATGAATATACCAAGAAATTGATGGATTAATATTCAATATCCAGATCTCAGATGAAGAATGAAAGGATATTTGCATACCCTGAATGGATGCTATAGTCATTAAAACTCTGGGTATTGCCAAAAATTATTTTTTTTTTGGTAGTATTAGATAGGAATAAAATTCCTCGTTAAATCTCCCACTAATTATTTATTTTTAAAGAGATATAAAAATGAGTCATTAATTTTCTCATCAATTATTTTATTTTAAAGAGAAATTAATATTTTCTAGCTAGTTTTCCACTCTATTTTAAATCATCTATGAAATTAATATTCTTAGCTAATTTTCTTTACTAATTTGATATTTTAAAAAAGAATAAATGATCCATTGATAATTTGCATTTCTATAGAAAGTCATTCATAAACTATACAATTTGATTGATCATTAAAAGTTTTCATCAGTGTTTTTTTTTTTTTCCAGAACAAGTTTTCATCAGTTCTTTAGTTTGGGGAGGAGGAAATCTGAAAGCCCTTCAGGGCAGGATGCCAGGCGCCAGCTCTAATATATGCCTCTTTCATTTTTGTTTTCTTTTTTCTTTTTTTATGAACCAATTAAAGCTTATGAAAAAATCGACATGCTGGGGACATCCTAGAATCACCCATTCCTACAATGGGTAAGTTTGAAATTTTAAAAGTGTTAACTATTTGATCTAAACTATTTAATTTATGTTGTTAATATCTCCTTGTAATAAAGATCATAGAAATATATTTTAGTTTTTGTTTTTGGTTTCAACCCTTTTTACCTGTCTTTAACTTTATGATAAGATCACAGTACTATAATTATATTTTTTGAAACTGTATATAGAGTGCATTAAAAATAAGCATAATAGTAAAAATGCTACGGTTATTGTTCCCTTGACACCGATTCTGTATTCGTTCAGGCATGGATTACAGCAACTGTTCGCTTGCCGCGAGAGAGAGAGAGATATATATATATATATCAAATAATGTATTACAGTGACAGTTTGCTTTTCGTAATTGTATGTTATTTAAAAAAAAACCCTTTTTTGCTGGTAAAAAAAATACTTTTTTATAATTTATTATTTATTTATAACCCTGTATATTAAATATTTTTTTGGATTGAAGGTCATTTAAATGACCCCAATCAAAAAAAGTACTCAATTTCTTTCATTTCATATATTTATATGATACAAAATACAATAAATTTCATTATATCAAGAGAGTTATTTCAACATTTACATCCATTACTTTTTCATTAAAAAAATAAAAATATTTTTAATCAAATCTTATCCTTAATAAAATAGTTACTTGTCTTTAAATTAATTCTATCTTTTCATATTTCTTTATTTAATAGAGCATTTTACTCTAAAATAAACAAAAGTGATTTATTCAATAAAGGTATTTTTTTAAAAAAAATAATGATTACAACTTGAAAGACTAAAATATTTTATTTTTCTGAATATCTAACTCCTAAAAAAGTATCTTATATTTTTTAATGGAGAGAATAATTATGTTCCTATTTTCAAACTTAAAAAAAAAACATTAATATGATTCTCAGAATCATAATCAACAACACACAAAAAGACTTCATAAGAAGGTTAATACTAAGATCAAAATTTTAAAAAATATTTTAGTTTTGGAATTTGGGAAAATGAGTACTGAATTTAAGATCTTAAGTTATAATAGGATCTTGATTTGATATTCACTTGTTCATGAAGCTTTTGGTATCTCCTCCCAACTTCTTTCTCATGCTTTTTTTAATAGGAGACTTTTTATTTAACAATTATTACTTACTTCATTTTTATTTATAAGAGAAATTATTATTTTTTACTTATTTTTTATAAACAAATCACACATTTTAATAAACATTGATTATATATTTTTTTAATTGTCCCTCATAATTTATATTAATAAAAAATAATTAATACATGCTTATATTAATTAACATAAGGTATTTTAATAATTTTTTTATTTCATACATAATTATTATAATTAACTAACTTTATTAAATTTTATTATACAATTTTTTTCTTTTATACAGAGAAATGGAAGGAGTAATTTTTTTTTTCTAAATATATTAGGGCATGTTTGATTGGAGGGGAGGGGGATTATAATTGCTTTGATTTAAAAGTCAAAAGTTGGGTTAAAAAATTAATCAAATTTCCTACCTCTTGTAATTTACACCTTTTTTTAAGAAAAAAAAATTTCATAACCACATTTAACCATTTTTTTTAATAAATGAATTCATCAAAAACTCACCACCCATATCCTCTTCACCAAACCCTCCAACCAAACAGGGGTTTAGGGTTAGATATTCTTTACCTAATTACAACCTCCTAGTTAATTAACTAGACAAACATATTATAATTATTCTAGAGGGTAATTTTTAATTTTTAAAAGAATAAACTAATAAGTATCGGAATGAGAATTTCAACGAGATAAATACCGCATAAGTTTAATTTGTCTTAGTTATGTTGTTTTGTTATAATTAATTTCTCATTTCGTCTCGTTGCATATGGATTGTATTAGTGTACTGTCGAAAGGAATCATAGGACACCCAATGTGAATGGGATTAGTCAGACAACTAACACCTTTAATTTATATATAATTAAACTTTAATTTTGTTTGTTGGTGGATGTCATTTCTCATTGCTGTTGAAGTTTTAAGTATGTTGATTATCAACTTACATATAGTTGTTCACAGCTAATGCAAGAATTTTTTGGATTTTAAGCTAAACCAGTTTAACTTTTTTATTTATTCGGGAAATCTGGGGTTGTTGCATGCGTAGAGATAAAAAAATGAGAGTCAGTATTTAAATACTGTATTATTAAAATATTTTTCAAATCATGACAATATAAAAGTGAAAGAAAAAAGTCACGTTCACAATAGTGTTAATTTGTGATGAGTATCTATATAATCTAGCTATATCTATAGCTTGTCCAGAAGTTAAATCCTTTTATATATTTTTTTGTTTATGTTTAATATTTAGCTAGAGTAAATTACACGCCTTAAAAAAAAACAAAAAACAAGTAGAGTTTAAAGTAATTTAGATACAGTAGGCATGGACCCTCAAGTCGAGCATGTTAGATTTTATTTTATTTTTTTTGGTGAAAAATTCTCAAAAAAACGATTCAGTTAAGTGAAATTAAGAAAAAATGTCACCATCATCGAGCTGTCTCATCATACAATAGTCCTTAATTTTTATGTTAGCATATATAATTAAAGATGAATGACAATAAAATTTTAAAATAATAAATTTATAATAATTAAGTTGCTTATAAGATTTTTTAAAAATAAATTATAAATATTGATATATAAATAAAAATATAAATTACAAGTTAAGAGTTATATTTAAAATTTAATATTTTATTTATAATTAAAATTTTTAAATATATATTTAAATTAATATTTTAAATTAATTTTTATTAATTTTATTGAAGAGCTAACAGTTATATATTTATTGTTTTGTGATTTTAAAGTCATTTTTTCTATAATCAAACTTTTTAAAATATAATAACTCCCAGCCTTGTTTTTCTTTTATTATGGCTGCCAGGCTGCTTGATGACAGAGAAAGACTGAGAAAGTGTCTTTCTCTCACTTCACATCAGTTGTGGGTCCTACATGTTAAAAAAATATAATAAAACCTGTTCGTGTTCTGGTTGGATTCTACTTGTTACAGTTTTGAAATCCAAATCGAATATCAAACTGAAAAGAGTAATGGGTTATAATTTTTAAAGTCTAGCCTGTTCAATGCCGGTCGAACTGATGCCATGAAAATTAAATAAAAAAATAATATTTATATGTATAATTATATAAATAAAACATTAATTTATCAATGATAATTAGAATCTCAACTCTAAAAGCTAGATGCTTAAACCGTTAGAGTTAAAGGTAGAGATATGTCAGTATAAGCTTGTGATTTTGAAGGAAATGCTGGAGTTGGAGGCATGCAATCATGTCATGACTCACAAACTTTCAATCTCGATGTCAAAGACTGGATCTCTAGAGCTGGAGGCAGAGGTTAGAGGAGAAGCTAGAGATTGAGCTTGGGCCATGAAAGAGAGATTAAAGATTAAAGAGGAGAAGAAAAGAGAGAATTAGTGATTAGAGAAGAGAAATTATGAATCTAAACAACTTAGCCTAAATTTCTTTTTTTTTTAATTTTCTAGCTTTGAATTGGGTTGACCTAGGTTGACCCAACTTTGATTTTCGGGTCAAAGCTGATTCTTTTAAAATCGACCGGTTCAATTCGGGTCAACTCGGATCAAATACCAGATTAGTTTAATTGGTTGAACCAAACCATTTTGTTCAGCAGGTGGCAGTTGGACTGGTCAGACCACCGGTTCGGTCTAGTTTCAACAACACTCACTGTTGACTAAAGTAATTAACATACGTTTGTTCAACCCGGCTCTCCCCATTTTTCCTCCTCTTCATTTTTTTCCTACTTTCTATTTCAATCATTAAATTTATTTTTCAATGATTAAAATTTAATATCTTAAAAAATGTAAATTTTTATAAAAAATAAATATAATAATGAAATGTGAAATATCAAGTCTCAATTATTTAAAAATCTCAATCACTTAAAAATAAATTCAATAGTTGAGATGAGAAGTAAAGAGGAAATGAAAAGGGAAGGAAATGAAGAAGCCAAAGTCCGTTTTGGCATTGTCAAAAAAAAAATGTTTAGATTATTAAAGTATTATAGGTTTTTGATACACACAATTTTTAATGCACTCATTAATATTAAGGACAATATAATTATATGATACTCTACTTTAAAATATAAGGCACTTTATGAAGAGTTAGATATTCAAAATATAAAAAGCTTTTTAGTATTTTAAGGTGTAATCATTATCTTTTTTAAAAGTGCCCCTATTGATGAATAACTTCATATTTATTGTAGGATATTTAATAAAAGTAAATATAAAAAGATAGGGTTAGTTTGAAAGTAGGTAATTACTTTATTGAGAGTGAAATTTAAGTAGAGGGAGTATCGTAATAACACTGTGGTTGAGTATGACTTGTTGAGCTTTATATATAAAATTGATCTAATAATTAGAGGGTGACTGAACTTTTTATAAATTCAGAGGCATCAAAATTTGAACAAAATAAGTTAATTTTTATTTCAAATTTTTTAATATTACTTAACATTTTAATTCTATTTTGTCCTTTAACTAGTATGAGCCAGCTTAATCATTTAATATTAATAATATTTTTGGATCACTATATCCAGCTCAACAATAGCAATTCGTCATATTCTTGGACGATAATGCTTTGAACTTTGAAATGAAAAACAATCTTGTCCCATTTTTCTCAATAAGAAATGGATAAATTAGTGGTGTCAAAATCGATTTCTCTATGAGAGAGAACTTATCCTTTTTTTTTTTTCCCTCCCCCTTCTGTTCTCACGTTGAGATGCCTCCTCATGTCCAGAAGAGTCCTAAATAAGACAGCCGGCCAAATGGGTTATTTAAGAGAAATAATACGGCCAATTGTATGTTAATAACAACAAAATTAAAAACGTATTAAATTTTTATAAAATAATTTATAAATATGATTGGACAGACTATATATCTGAAAGAATCACATGTGAGAACTTGTAAAGAAAGTTATTGATAGACAAAATAATAATAAATTTTATTTGAAAAATATAAGTT